GTGAGGCCATAGCCATACCTTGAGCTTGCACATGTCTGCTGTAGCACATCATTTCATAAGCTAAACTGCAGTATAAATTATAGTTCATCGCTATGTCGGTGCGTCTATGCCATATCTCAATTCTCAATTGTTCTCCGCCACTAGATGCGGACAAAGAGAGGAGAGCAAATAGCAAAAAGCATATCACACATCGAAAGCCAAACCCAAGATTTTTGGAGCGCAATTGAGCTGTTAATTCAATTCAAGCCATTTGCTAGTCTTCTTGATAAAAAGACAATGACAAAGTTGAGCTAGAAAAGAACCTATGTTCGTGACTACGTGTGTCCTGCAAGAATGCAAGATGCGCGCGGAACTGGGTCTGGGGCTGTGGCCTGTGGGGTGGCAGATTGCATTGATTTTGCACGTGCAAACATGCAGCTTATTCGCTTGCTCGTATACGATCGTGGATTATAAGCTGGAACAGTATTTTTCTCTCATACCAAACCTATCAGCAGTAAATAATCTACGATCGTTTACGACGAAACGAACAGACTGATGGACTATGAGACTTAAAAATGACATGTACAGTAGTAGAGTACTACTAGAAAAGAGTGTGGTGTGGATACTACTGGCTAGGACGAAACAAGCAAACAAAACAGGACACGGTACAACGATTTTGGAGCCAATTTTTAGTCGGGATTTCATCGGTTAGGTGAAAAGAGGGCATCATGGTGTTTGTGCGAAATTCTAAGAAATTGACCTTTGTACTCTTAGCTAGTGTGTGGTAGTACCAGTAATGATAGTGGAGTAATCATGTTGTGGCATCGGATATGTTTGAAAAACAAGAATCTTGCATTGCTAGACTTCTGTTAGAAATTGGAACGCATGGTCCTTAATTATAACAAGAATAGATGGGAAAAGTCTGACATTTTGATGATCTTCTCCACCGAAACAACAGTTTCAGAAATCAGAATAATAGGACTACGGAACATTTTGTCAGGACTCGGGTCTTAGAAATTTTCGTTATTATGTCGTATATGCTGTGGTTAATTACATAAATCCACGTCATAGTGCCACCAGCCAATAAGAATTCAGTGTTTGCCTACACCAATCCGCGGCACATCCTATTCAGAGCCGTCCGATCATGCAGGAACCGATCTAATTAAAAAAGTCCGTTGTGCGTCTCGCGTACTTGCCTACTGCCGTCTTGTTCGTTTGGGCTTGTTTGGCTGATAAGTCATGGCTAAAAGTATTGTTGGCTGATTTAGTATGAGAGAAAAGTACTATTCATTGACTGAAAAAATACGGATTATAAATCAAACAAGCCCAAACGAATGGGGCAATAAATAGCGCCCCCCTCCCCCTTCAAATTACATCACGGGCTCACGGCTGAAGATCGAGCGACCTAGCTACGACTACAATACAAGGCATCTTCAGTGGTGTAGCAGTTGCTAGCACACACGATCTGTGACTGTGAGAGGTAACTAGATAGACCGTACCCATCTCCTTCATGTTTAATTATTCTCTTTATTACTACTTCAATTTGTGCAGTACTAACAGATTTGGTTATCTATATTCTTGCTTTATCGGCTATCCATGTATCTAGCTACATGTTGGCCATTGCCACATGCTTTTGTTATTTGTATAGTTCATTTTCATTCAACTGGCTGTGTTTGGGCGACCTAGGTTGTTTGTTTTATAACGTGTATGTGTTTCTAGGGTTTTAGTGTGTGCAATTATGGATTGCAAACTCTAATATGATTACGCTAGACAGTACGTAATCTATCCCCACTCTGCTCAGGGTTTATTCATCATTTTTGCCGTACAAGTGTTGATAAATAATTTCTTCGTTGCATGAGTACCGAGTACACATGATTTTGTTTGCACTAATTCTCAGTTCTATTCTCTCGACCTTACACTCTTAACATGTTTGATATTGTAACAGAGAAGAAAAGGGCAACTCAATAGTAATTAGTGCTCCTTTAGTATCTACTAGGTGATGGATTAGGTTTCTGTTCAATAATGCTCGAAACATCATGAAGCCCCTGCTGATTTGCCTGTATTTGCACTGTGTAGTTCCCACATCTGAATTCATGTCTGTCTTTATCTGCATATATATACGTGTAATCAATTTATTTTCCTACTACTACATGACATGATTCAATTAGGCATATGCTAGTGTGTGACAGTGGTTCTGTGAACATTTCAATTAGATGCAGGATTTTATATACTACTGTTATATATAATACATACTTATTTCTGTTCCTCAGGAGCATCTTATTTTCAATTGTGGTATACTCGATCAGGATTTCTTTTGTACATGATCAATCATCAATTCAATTACTGTTTTGTTTGCAAGATGGCTCGTACTAAGTCTTGGGCTCGTAAGTCGACCGGAGGAAAGACACCAAGGAAGCAACTCGTTCGAACGGTCTTTGTATGTGTATTTGTAAAATTTGTATGTTAAGTACTCATCAGTATCATCAGTACTTGCGTGTTGAAACTTGTTCTAACATTAGTAGTATGGCTTTGTGCAATACGGATGCTGCGTTCTCTGAAAAAAGCAAGCAAGGAGCAACCTCATCCATTATCAGAGATGATCAAGGCGCGTTCTATTCGGCACAAGCAATCTGGTATGAGCGTGGTCTTGATGTTTGCTCCATGGAGGCCTTGGCGTGCAGGGATGGCATGAAGCTTGCTGCACAGATAGGTTTACGTCGGGTGGCCTTGGAAACCGACTGTCTCTAGGTTGTGCAATTGTGGAAGAAGAAGGAGTCACAAAGATCCATCATTGATCCTATTCTGAAGGAGATGGAGGAAATTAGCCTTACCTTTCAAGAGTTTTCTTTCTCTTTTATTAGTAGAAGTTCTAATAAGGTTGCACATTTGTTAGCTCATCAGGTTTCTAGTTCACATTGCTCGGATGTGTGGCGTGTTACTCAGCATGTGTGTATGACTTGATTATGGTTGAGGCTTCGGCCGGCTGATTTATGAAAGGCAAGCAATTCAAAAAAAAAAACTGCGTCACTATTTTCTGCTTTGTTGAATTTCGTTTGACGAAGTCGTGATACAAGGAACAATACATAGTGCGTCAACTTTTGGACTACGGAACATTTTGTCAACTTTTGGACTACGGAACATTTTTTAGGACTCAGGTCTTAGAAATTCGTGATGAAACTTTGTCCTGACACTGCAAATCACAATATAAAGGACCCAAGAAGTGAAAACAAAAGGATGGATTAAAAGACGGGAGGAGACGAAAAGATAAATATCCCTACTGTTTGGTTTATAAAGCGTAAGGGTCTCCCAAATTATAATTTGTCCATTCATTTGATGAGAATATACTTGTGTGTGACGAAGGTGCTATCAAGTGAACATCTAGGCCTTGCTAAGGACATCCGCGACCATGCCCCAAGGGGAACTAAGGTTATTTTTTATAACTTCTCTCATGTTCTGAACCATTGCACACATGAGCACCTTAAAAACCGGACTGCCAGAGCATGTTGAGGTATTGGAAAGAGAAGGTGCGAAGAGAATAAGAAATTCACACTACTACAATACCAATTTCGTTCATAACTGGAACCAAACTGAAAAAAAGGTGCGAAGAGAATAAGAAATTCACACTACTACAATACCAATTTCGTTCATAACTGGAACCAAACTGAAAAAAAACTAAAACCAAATTTCCTTGGCTCTCACTTTTGAAAAGAACCATTTGGTTCAGTCAACCAACCCATCCCTAGAGAGAAATAAAAAGGAAAATGGCATTGAAATCCACACAACTACTATCTCTATCCAAAAAAGATACAATTCTACCTTTCTATCAAGTCAATCTTTCTTAACTTAAATATAAAAATATTATTTATGAAAGTAAAATGAGGGTACATACGTCTTTTATGTTCTCTCTTAATTTGTCCTAAAATTTCTAGAATGCACTATATTGCAAGACAGAGGGAGTAATCAATTAGATTACTATAAATATATTTTCATAGTATACTTTTTTGAAGTCATAAAATATTAATAATATTTTCTATAAACTTAGTTAATATTTTTTAAAAAATAAATTGGCTCTGCCTAACCTAAAATTACATATTTTTTTTCTATTGAGACGAGGTAGTAAATACTTCCAGCTATTTTTTAGCTATAGCTATCAATTAATTTTAGAGAATTTAAAAATAACATTTATCACTGATTATAGGTATAGGAGATCACTTATTTTAATGGCGTGGACATGATATAAGGGCAGTCCCAATGGTGTATTGATGATGGTTTCTATCCTCATTAAATGATTTGTCACGTAGGCAAAATGCTGACATGGCAACGTAATTAATGAAGAAAGAGAGCAAAAATCCTAGAAATGGTTTCCTCATGAAGAAATTAGGTCTTCTCTTGACCCAATGCACCAAGAAACCATGAAATCGTCATTGGGGAGAAACCACCAATTTACAGGGGACTCGTGCCACACTTCCATTGAAGGAAGAATATAGAGTTGGGAGAGAGAAAGAGAAAATAATTATTCCACAAAGACACCTCCACTATGAAGGTAGTTTCTATAGATCATTTCTTGTGCTATGAAAACCGCCTCAGTTTTTTCCATACTAGGAAATCACGTATAGACGTGTACAGGGATCCAGATGCGAGTGTCCATTATATTGTCATTTTGCAGAGTGGCACCTCTGTTCAACCAACCGGAAGTCCGGTTCCGGCGGTAGGTAAATAAAGAGAGTGATCACCGACGAATTCTGAGAATATGGATATGGTTAGCTCGTTTAACAGAACACCAAGGAGCTAAATATTCGTTACTAAAACAGAGAAACAAAACCATTTTTCATAAGTACTGACCGATACATTAAGACAGAGCAACTAATTCCCGATCTGACAAACCTAGAACAAGAGCATGAGAAGGTGTTATTCCTCTGCGCTAGTAAAAGATTCATCTGAGGCGACTGCAAATGCCGTCTCTTTGCTTCGTTACTCGGCGGCTGGAGCGCTGTGCTTCCGGTGATCCAGCGGGTCGGAGATCAGAAGAACGCCCGGCTGCCATAGAACACCTTGGGAGACGGCTTCTCCTGCTGCCCTGCGGCGGCCGGCTTCTTCACCGCGCTCGAGTCGGCACCCGTGGAGTCTGCGTCGGGTGTGGCTGCTGCGGGACTGCTCTTCCCGCTGCTACCGTTGTCTATGTCCAAGGCAGGGAGCTTCATTTTGGCCAGGGAATCCGTGAATTGCTGCATGCTCTTCATGTACATGTCCATGATCTGGTTCCCGTCCACCTTCACCTCCTGCTCGATGTTGACGCTGATCACCGGCTTGTCCTCGGCGGCCTCCGACGCGGCGCCGGGCGAGTTCGCCGCCGGGACCTCCTGGACGGTGCGGGACGAGTCGACCTCCGCGTCGGCGGTCTCCGACGCCGCCTTCTCCTTGCGGTCAGCCGACGAGTGGGCGTTCCCGGACGGCTCCGAGCTGGAGTTCTTGGACTGAGGGGTGGCCGGGAACGCGGCGGCGGCGGGGGACTCCGTGGTGGACACGCTGCTGACCGGCGTGTCGCTCCGGAAGGCGCCCACCGAGTCGGCGGTGCTGTTGTCCGTCGAGAAGCTCTCCACGAGGCGCACGCCGGCGTCGTGGCTCATGGTCGTGGCGCCATCCCCGTGCTCCGAGGTGAGGAGGCTGTCGGAGCTCTGCGTTTCCACGGCCGCGCACGGCAGCCTGGTGTACTCGGAGACCATGATCTGGTTCTCCTCCACGAGATTCAGGTCCGGGAACTCGATCTTCTCGTACTCCTTCCCGTTCCCGACGCCATCGGCGGCGTTATTCTCCGGCTCCTCCTCCTCCGGGTCGGCCAGCGCCGGCTTGGGCGTGGGCGAGATGGGCACGACCTCCGGCACGACCCCGATGTAGGAGAGCTCGAGCTGCAGGAACCCCGAGGGGGTCTGGAAGAGGTCGCTGGTGGTGAGCGGGAACTCGCGGGCGAGCGTGCCGCCGTCGGCGGCGACGACCTCCGGGAGCGGCACGAGCGCGAAGCCCAGCAGCTGGTCCTGCAGGTAGTTCTTGACCCGGCTGAGCATCCACACCTCGCAGCGGAGCGTGGCGTCGACGTCCCCCGCGCGCACGCCGAGGCGCAGCGACTGGTCGAACACCGGGTTGCGACCCCCGCCGTTGACCACCTGCGTGGACGCCGCCGGCGCGCCGTCCCCCGGCAGCGAGAGCCGCGCGTACACGTCCTGCTTGTGGTAGATGCAGATGTTCTGGATGTCCCGCGCGCTGCGCACGTGCACGTCGACGTAGCCGATCAGCTCCGCGCCCCCGGTCCCGTTCGCGGGCGCCGCCGCCGCAGACGCCGCTCCTCCCTTCTGCTGCTGCGGCTGCTCCATGACAAGACCACACCTTTACTCCTCCAAGCTTTCAACTCTGTGTCCACAGCAAAAGGGGAAGCAACAAATCAGACGAAACCCATATAATAATATCACGCAAATCTTCTTCTACGGAATTCAGCGCCGGTGGGAGGGCAGCTGCATAGTCGAAATCCGAGAAGTAGGTGACGCGAAACTGTCGGCAGATGCTCACTACAGTGCGCCGAGACAGACTAACCGGAACTGCACCCACCTCCACAAGCTTCTTGAACAGACTGTGGTGATGGAGGTGATTCCTCCTACTCGATTCAACGCAACTGCTGAAATACATATACCACGAGAACCCACTGGAGCTCCGGCAAAAGCGCTGCTACTGTCATCACTTAAAGAAAGGAGTTCACGATGCGTAGGTTTCCATCCCGATAAAAGCGAAGTGAAGGGAAAGCGCGAGAAAGAGCTCAAATCCCAGGAAGAAAAGGCGAGAGATCTCAGAGCAGGATAGGGAATTGAAGCAGATTCGCGATGCCGCTTACCCTGTCCGAAGTGCCGGTGCTGCTCTCGACTCTCGAGAGAGGAACGACGACGAGGAAAGCAGAGCCACTGGAATCAAGCGGAGGACAGCGAGCGAGCGAGCGGCAGGGTGGGGGCTCGAGATATAACACGAACTCCAAAGGGGATTAGGGCAGTACTAGTAGTAGTAGATTTTTTTTTTCTCTAGCTGGCTTTGCCTTTCTTTTCTACCCCTTTACCTAACTAAGCTTGCTTTGCTTTTATTGCCTTGTTTGGCCGAGCCATAGCGTTAGCGTAGTCTACTACTGCTGCATGTGCTTCCCCGACTGGCCGTTGGTAGTAGAGCCGTACAGTATTCAAAGGCGCTAACAAAATACTACACCGTTCACCCTATCCTGACCGCATACGTAGCAATCAGCCTACTGTTAAGAACACACGTAGATTAAATAAACAAGATGGTTTAAGAAACCCCAGCTGGATAGAGTTGAAGAAGAGGCCCCAGGAAAGGTCGCGAAAGGGGTCGCAGAAAGTCCGCGGCCGGGAGCGCAGCCCCCGGGGGGTCACGGACAGGCCACTTTGCGCGGTTTTTAGCCGTGGTGACAGCCCGAAAAGTCAAGGTTGTTTCGCAGCGGCCGCGGCTGCGCTCGCCTTGGCGCCTTGTGGCGGCAGCGCGTGAGCGGGGGCGGCCAATGGCGCCACGGGCAGGACCCTTTTGATGGGCATGCCGCGTTGTTTAATCGGGGACCGGGGCCGGGACCGGGACGAACGAACCGGGGCAGGGCGTGCGTGGGCCGCGGGCGGCCGGGTGGGGGTGGGTGGGCGCGTGCCGTGCCCGGCGTCGCTGTCCGTCCGCCCGCGCTCGCACGCTCGCGCCCGGTTTTTCAAAGCGGATATCATCTCGCCGGGCCCTTTTCCGCGTCCGTCCGCCATCATCGCGAGCGGCCGGGCGGGTTCGCGGGGCGGGTCGGCGTGGCCTGGCAATGCCCGCGGCGGGGCCGGGCCGACCGCGCGCGTGCGCTGCGGCGCCGGAGCCTGCAGCCAGAGGTGGCGACCGGAACGAACGACAGCTTCGGCACCAGGCATCACCTCATCAGCCGAGTACGCTGATCTGAATATCTGATGAGCAAGGCGGGAACCGAATCTGACCCATGTGCGGTGAGAGGCAGATGGATGGATTCCGTGGTGTGGCGTGGGGTGGTGGTGGCAAGCTTTTTAAACCGTTTCTGCCTTGCCTTGCGAATGGTCCCGCGACCCTCTACCATGTGTCGGTTGCAATTTGCAAAGCGTGTCCATGGACTCATGTATCATGGTGGGCGGACGACAGGAGAGTCATCGATAGGGCAAGAGACTGGACTGTTGAACCTTAGCTCAGCATGCATTTCTGGCTGTTTAAATAGAGAAGCAACTTAGACACCATTTGGCGTCAGCTGCCGAGAGCATGTTAAGCCGATCCCATCATTTGTTGCTTAGCAGACGATCGATGTCGATTTAGAGCTTCAAAATTTGGCAAGCGGTCCAATTGCTACGACGCAAGTAGTATCCATTTGCTCGAGAGCAAAATCTGAATCTCCATTTCCACAAGCCAGTGCAAGCAAAAACTGTCTTTCGAAGCTAGCTATAGCTCATGCGATCGATTTTCCAATTCCATCATGATGTTGTGGTCGCACATGCGTGCGCATGTAATGGATTGACCAAGCGAAAGTAAGAGAAGGGCCGAGGACACATCAACGTGTACTTGATTGCAACTTGAGTGCAAATATCTTGCTTGTAGATCCAGCAGTTGTTATAGTTGTGACCACAGTCCACAGGGAAAAGCGCCATCAGATTCCCGTTAGCAATGACCTCTCCTTAGTGCAGTTTAATCATGCATGCGTCTTAAAACTGGCTCTCCCGCTTGGCAATGTTTGCTGAACCCAAGTAGCCAAAAAGCCCAATCAAGGCTATACTATGTCACATATAAGTAGCCACCACTTGATACAATAGTATTAGGACGGCATTCCCAACCTAGAAACCGTATGATTTCTACAATTCTTAATTTGGAAGGGCTAGCGCCCGGACATCCAGCCGCAAGAGGCGTCCGGACGCTGCTCCCGTTCGAGCGCATCCACCGTGTCCCGTCTCGTTCCCGCGTAACAGAAGCGCGCCTGTAACCCCGCAGCGCCATAACAAACTGGAGCGCGTCCGCCTCACCCCGCCTGCAGATGCACGCCGCGGAGGCGTCTGACACCCTCAGGCGCCTGGACGGTGACCCACGCGGCGCCACAGCAGCAGCAGCAGGGGGCTACGCCAAGCGAGTCACGTCGCAACATGTGCAACACCCGATGTACTTTGAAACATTCAAATATAACATTTGCAATATACGTTTGAAGACAGATAAAACACTTGAAACATATGTCTGAAACACTTGCAAAAGTATCTAAAAACACTTGAAAACCATTATAAACACATACGCAACATCTATATAAAATACTTGCAACATATATGTGAAACATATGCAACATTTAGATAAACACACTTGCAAAATATGTCTAAAAAACAGATGAAACGTTGGGAAGAGAAGTTTGTAACAAACATGTACCACCATTGCAACATATACAACATCCCGATCTATTTTTGCAACATTCATATGAAACACTTGCAACGTATACCTCTAAAACATCTAAAACACTTGAAACATACTCTTGCAACATGCGCTTTCAGCAAAAGCTGGCAGGCGGGCGGGCGGAGCACTGCACAGTGAGATTCGGCGCTAGTTAGGGTGGAGAAGGAGGATGGCAGTGGGCAGGCGGCGACACCCGCTGTGGAGGCTGCAGCGGTGGTCGGGCAGGTGTGGCCTCGCGCGGCAAGGCACCCCCGCGCTGGAGAAGGTCACGGCAGGTAGCACCCCCGCGCTGGAGAAGGCCACGGCGAGTGGCAACCGCGCTGGAGAAGGCGAGCAGCGGGCGAGCATTGGGGAACGTCGTGACGCCAGTGCAAATTGGAAAATGTCGCTATCTTTTTTAAGAAGCTGTGAAGGAAGGTAGAGGGGAGCATGCTTGTTGGGCTGGTAGCGCGTAGGCCCAGGAAGCGCGGTGTCCAGGCAGTCGGACGCCCGCACCATAGCATTTCCTTTATTAATTAAGGCGTCAACTTACAAAAAAAGATAATATGACACTACAATTAAAGAAGAGATAGCAGAAAATGGTTTCTTAATAAGAAACTAAATCCACAAAAGGAAAGGCACCAAGATATGTGATAGGTAAATGGGGGAGAGAGAAGACATGTGCTGTAAAAATTATCCATTGAAAACATAGTTTTATGTGTAGTGTTTACATAAATTAATACACATAAACTATACATGGTTTTTAGCATTACGAGTGCCATGGAACTAGCCCTAACAACCGTGTTATCTCTTTTTTTTCATATATAACATAGGACTAGACCCGGCTTATATATACAGAAAAGCCAATATAGAGTTTACATCGAACGTTATAGGCTGCGGACACCAGCGGCCAAAAGAGGCAAAGACCCGACCGTGTCATCCACTCATCCTTATTCAGGGCCGTGCATATCAAATGTTGTGTCTCTTGTAGTGGTTGCTAGCTAGACCTGGCATATCATTAGTCTCTGTCTTTTCTGCAACATCACAATCTGAAAAATGGCACAAGTGATCTACCTTGTAGGTTCAATGACAACTCCGAAGTTGATGCCACATGCTAACTGCCTAACTCTCGAAAGGAGTAATTCAGGCTTGAAAAGAAATGACAGAGCAGTGGCATCCAAGCAGCTGATTTGGGCCGGCCGGCCCAATACTAAGATCCACTAATGTCTAATGATCACCCAAGTACGAAATCCGGCACCCAAAATCTGCACTTGGAAGAGTTCCATGGCCCTCGAGAGCTTGTTTCAGCTTATTTCAGTTTTGTGATGAGACAATAATTAAAGGGACAAGAAGTTCACATAGCTTTCATGTGAACTATCGCCATTACGCCTCTTCAGAGTTCAGACGGCAGCTGTTCTGCTACAGCAAATTTGACTGCAATTGATCTGCCTTGGCAGGCAGGTAGTAGTAGTATCTCGGGGTGAAGTCAGATGTAGCACAGCTCTTATCCTGTTGTAGGGCACGAAGAAATGGTTCAGCATCTGGGATTGTGTGGCCGTACGATGCTTGATCCATGCATAACAGGGGACGCCGTTCTGAAGATTGGGCTATCTGCATCATTGAATGCGTTATGCGTAAGCAGTATGCTACTGGTCCGGGCGTCCGGCCTCCATGGCCGATCGACCGACCGTTCGAGCCGTCGTGATTGAACGTTTGACGTAGTGGGGGAAGAAACAAATGCTGACGGTGCGAGCTGAAGGAGGCCTGTTTGGATTGTAGCCACGTTTTTTGTCATGAGCCCTGACTGATTGGGGCTGCACATCGTGGAAATGGAACGCACAACTACGTTTTCAGGGCCTGTTTGATATAGAGCGCCGGGATGGCCGAGCCTGTCAGCCAGGCCCTGGCCAGTCACGGCCTGGTCCAGAGC